TGTGCACTTTCATCGTTACACTACTTTTTTGGTTCAAAAGAAGAAATTCCAGTAATACGCAATGGATAATGATACATAAATACATAATCCTTGTACAGAGAGTTAACCAAACTGGAGGATAAATACAGTTTAAAAAGAAAATTATGTTAGAAAGACCCTTTTTGGCAAAGACAATGATGATTTATTAAAACGTTGGTTCGCTGGTAAAAATTTGTGATGGCGAAAGAATGATGTCCAAAGCCTTACATTCGAGCAAAGATTATGAATGTTTTTTTTTTTTTTTTGAACCTTAAGATTATGAATGCTGATGTCTGTTATCCGACTTCTTAAAAGAAAATTACAGTTTCACCCATCATATATATTGCGAAAGTGGTGTTTTGTCCAATTAAAATGAATATAATGTGAACATAAGCATCACATTTATTTGAAACATTTGAATATGGAGCTTCCACTTATTAAAAAAAAATAGTTTATATGTTTATTTTATATGAAAATATGTTATTTGATGAAAAAAAAATTTAGTGAAAAAAATACATATTTTTTGTGAGATCAAATATTTTGTGTGATTATATGATTAAAAAATAAAAATGTTAAGTAGTTTTGTTCATAATTTTATTTAACATAAAAGGACATAAATGTATTATTATTAAAAACCCAAAAAATTTAAAAAAAAATATTTAAATTAATGTCAATAATTTTTTTTTGTATGGGGCTCTGGAATTCTCAGATCCGGTTCTGGATTACAATTGTCGATCTCACCACAAATTAGTTATCTTGTAGTTTGAGTAAGAACTAGATAATTAATATAATTAACTAAAGATTTGCTCTAATTTAGTGCTTATTATTTCTAGGTAAATTAGCCAGTACAATGACAACACATCATGTAGAGCCTTTCACTATAATATAAACATTGTTTTACCATAAAAAAAATATAGTACACAAATCACATAAAGAAAAAAAATCATTTACTATTGTCATGCCGAAGAAGAAGTTAGACCTAACTTACATTTCCGATGACACATCAAGGAAGCTAACATTCAAGCGGAGGAAGAGAGGATTTATGAAGAAACTCGATGAGTTCAAGGATCTCTGCAACGTCGATTCATGTGCAATCATGTACAGTCCATTCGACACCAATCCAGATGTATGGCCATCAAACTTGGAGGAGGTGACTAACTTACTGAAGAAGTTTGAGATGTTGTCGGAGTCGGAGAAGCTACACAAATCGGTGAACCTTGAAGGATTTATCAATCATGATATCACAAAAGGCGAGAAGAAGAATAAAAGGATGATGAATGAAAATAAGGAGAGTTTCATGAAGGAGCTCATGTTGGGATATCTTGGTGGAAACATGGGAGATCTGAGTATGGACGATAATATTCGTCGTGACTTGTGTAAGTTCATAGATCAATATCTCATGAATCTTATTCACCATAAAAACGTAAACCTAAAGAATCCAAATTTTGAAGTCGGTGAATCTTCCTCAATGGCTATGGCTGCAGACATGGCACTAACCTCTATGGATGGGGTCATGGCTCCACCAGCTATGACTGAAGTAGGTTCCTCCTCCTTCATGAGCCCCCCGACCCTTAACACTCCTTGGCTAACCGACGAGTTGCAAGCTATGATCTCTTCATACCAAATGCAAAAGCACATTCATCCTCTTGCAAAAAATTCTCTTRATGTCCCAATCTCCAACTCTCCTCAACCAACCAACAACTTTCAGTCCATAATGTCTTCGAACCAAATACCCGAACATGTTAATTCTCTTGGAGGCAATATTCTGAATGCACCAAAATTTAACTATCATCTTCTGACCAATGAGTTACAAGCCATGATCTCTTCATATCAAAGACCAGAACATGTTAAGTCTCTCGCAAACAATTTTTCGGATGCCCCAATCTTCAATTCTCCTCAACCAACCAACGAGTTGCAATCCTTAATCTCTTCATATCAAAGACAAGAACATGTTAATTCTCTTGCAAAAACTTCTCAAAATACCCCAATCATCAACTCTCCTCAACTTAGAAACGAGTTGGTGCCCATAATCTCTTCAAGCAAGGGATCAGAGCAGTTTAATGTTCTTGCAAGCAATCTCCTCCCCAATAGCAAGGACGAAGTATATATTCCAGTTACGAGTCAGGTAATTTTTGTTTGTGATCAATGTATCCCTGTATTATTATATTAATCATTGTATATATTATAGCAACAATATTGATATTTGATTATGTCTCAGGATGAATTTTACAATCCGCATCAGTATCAAGATCAGCAACAAGAGTTGGTCGAAGAGATGTTGAAACTTGGTGAGCAAACAGGTTTTCCTTGGATGGACGACAATCACCAGTTCTAAAGCATTTCATCGTAATGTTATGTTTCCTTTGTTTTCGCAAGTGTTTATTGTGACAAATCTTTGATTTGTTATGTCTTATCTTTTCAGCTCATCAACTTTGAGTTTTCTGATGAATATGTGTTCTCTATCATGTGAGAGAAATTAGTGGCAAATTATGAATTTAGAGTCATTAGAGTCTAAAGAAAT